ACATTTATTTAAATGAGGGAAAAAAACGTCACTGGTATCGGATCGAAATCGGCCAATACCAAACCCTAGGTACCGGAATCGGTATCGGAGGCAAAAAAGGTGGATCGGAGCATCCCTAAATCAAACACATCTGAACCAGTTAACCAAGGTCTTCAGGATCACTTGTAAAGTCACAGGCCATGGGCCTGTACCATGATGGTAGTTGAACAAATTCAGAGTTACAGGATTAGTTCCGAGATGACAAAACCAAACCTAATCCTAACCCTAACCATATAGTAAGTACATGTAATTAATTAATATTACACAGTACTTAAATGTATAATTACACTGTAACAAGGACACTTTAAAATAAAGTGTAACCGAGATGTCTTACCCAGAACGTAACCTGCCCTGGAGCAGTTTAGCTGTGGAGTGTAAGTTACTATGGCAATGAACGCCGCTAAAAGCCAAGTCACTTTCATGGTACCTAAAACCCAGGACTGGTGCAAACTAAACTAAAACTTACCTGGCTAGCCAGCTAATCTGGCTTCATGGTACAGGCCCCATGTGCGCTGAAGCAGGTTGGAAATAAACATGGCAGGATAGTGGGTCCCTAGGAGCAGGGTTGAAGACCTATGTTCTACTCTGTTGGCTACACAATATTGTCAAAATTGTTAAAAAGACCTAAACTCAACAACACCAGTTAAAATCATGGAGTATGTCCTGTTAACCTGGTTACACAGGAATAGGAGACAGTCATCGCAGCTCCTAACTCAAAGCTCCTAGACAGGATGAGCCATCCCAGACGCTGTCTGAAGCCTAGTGCTGTGGAGATGCGAGAACACAAACCTGCAGAGACAGCAGTGGCCAAACCTCAAGAAGCCACAGGCCTCAATTAAACCAGTGTGAGAATTCAGATGCCTACAACTTGGAATTGAAATAAGCTGAGAGATGCAGTAAACCTGTTTTCCTTAGGGGAAAACAACTCACATTATTTCAAGGAGAATACAGTATTCCAACAAACTAAACCTTTCTGTTTCAAATAAATGCTGTTCTTTTCAGAAATAAATGACAAAAATCCCAGTTTCCTGTCAAACAGCACCTGATTACTGGACTAAGTTATCTTTTGTGTCTGATTGCACTAATACTGTCAAAAACACACAAGGTTTACATATAAACCCAAGTCTAAAGTAAAAGTAAACCGTTGAGAGAAAAACGGATGTGTGCCTGTATATTAGATGTGTGCAGCTCTTAAAGCAACAGTACTAAACATGCTGCAGCTTGTCATTTAAAGGGGTCATATGATGCGATTTAAATTTTTCCTTTCTCTTTGGAGTGTTACAAGCTCTTGGTACATAAAGAAGATGTGTAAAGTTGCAAAGACTGAAGTCTCAAATCCAAAGAGATATTCTTTATAAAAGTTAAGAGTCAGCCACGCCTACCTAAAACGGCTCGTTCTAACACACCCCCACATATCTACGTCGCTATGTAGGAAGATTTGCATAACGCCGCCCAAATGTTCACGCAAAGAAAGAAGGCATAACTTTTATTCTCGCTGTAGTATTGTTGTTGCTGCCGCCATGTTGTGGAGACTCTGTGTGATTCGTTGTGAAAGCGAAACTACTTTGTTTGGCCTTCCAAAAGAGGATGATATCTGCTTCGTCATGCCTGGAGCTGATCCGTGCTGGTTGCTGAGGAAATACTACAACTTTGCGCTGTGGATCGCCGGATCGGCTTTCACCGTGGAGTCCAGCCCGGAGTTGTCACATGTCCTTCCGGATGCTCCTTCTCCCATCCTGGGAGAGTAGACTACAATGCCGGCTGTTCTGACTCAAAGACTGTAAGTAAGTTTTTTATATTTAAGAGTTTTTATATTTTATATATTTAAAGCGAGTTTTTTGGGCAGTGTAGAGTAGGGCTTGTTGTTTGTCATTTCTCCGATCACAAATGCAGACATGGTTTTGTTTATGCGGCCCGATGCGACGCAACGCGTAAAAAGACAGTATAAATCATTATAATCCATAAACCTCGCCTTTTCAGTCCGATGAGCTTTGTAAAAATCGACGAGTTTCAGAAAGGCGGGGCATAGAGGAGAAACAATAATGTACAGTATGTGGAAAATAATGTGTTTTTTTAATTTTAAACCGCATAAACGCATTTCATTACACCAAATACACAAAATAATGTTCTTTTTAGCAGCATCATATGACCCATTTAAGGGATAGTTCACCCAAAAATTTAAATTCTGTCATTATTTACTCACTCTCATGTTGTCCCAAACCTGTATTTCTTTCTTTCTTGTGCTGAACACAAAAGAAGT